CAGTTAACTCTTTCCTAACTCGGTCTTCATTTCATTTCCTTTTCTTATTTTTTTGATTATTTTAACTCATTTTTTTTGTTGTGTGCCCTTTTAATTGTGAAATTTCCACGAAATTTTGCGATGCGATGCGACTTTCAGTGAGTTGATTCGTGTTTTTCGAGGCTGACACGATTCCGCCAAAAAGCCAGCCCGACAACGTGGCTACAAAGTCGAAATAAGATTTGGGTTTGGGTTAGGGTTTTGGACTTAGCTGGGGAGTCCAAGTGGCAAGACCGAGTGCGGGGTTGTGTGGGTATGGGTCAGTGAGCAATCCGGACCGCATTTGTGTCATTTTGCGACAACTTTGACATGTGTGACATTGTTTTTTTTGTGCCTCAACTTTGTTTCTTTGGCTACGTTGTTGGCTTCTCTCACTTTTCTGTTTATTTTTTGCGACATTTTCGTGTTGTTTGTCGAGTTTGCTTTTGCGGCTTGCAGCAAACAACAAAAAGAATTATTTGATGTATTTCTTGTCGTTGTTTTTGCCAGTGTCCAGCGTTTTTTTTCTGAGCCAGACTTGCCCATGGCTAGTTAGTTTAGATACGAGATACATAGATATAGATTATGTGTATATGTGTAGATACACACAAGTGTGTGCTTTTGTTTGACTCGAATTTGCCGCTCAGCTTTTTTTTTTGTACAATGTTCGCAGTTTGGCAGTCCCCAGTTCTTAGTTTTTTAGCCGGACTTGGGGTTTTCTTGACCAGCTCGTGCTGTTCTGAACAATGAGCCGAAGTTGGCGGCAAAATACTTTTGAAATTCAAGACGCAGCCAGCAGATGCAGATTCAACAGCAGATACTTTAAAAAGTCCCAAAAAAATCCAAAAGCGTTTCTAATTGTGTTTTCGTAAAAACAGAACGTAAATCTATTTCGCTTGTTTTTCGTATGCCATTTCTTAAAAGACACATTTTTAATATTTGTTTGGACATCTTTCGACTACCGACGGCGCCGCCACCCGCAGCTGCAATATGCAAATATTTTTTACATATGCCAGCGCACATCCTCTATGGATCTAGAGCACATCCTTGCGCCGGAGGATGTTCCGCCCGGCTTTTTTGTTCTATTTTCCACCACTCGCCGTGCTCGCAGCACACAGCCGAGGGACAAAACGAAAAAATCAAGATTTATTTCGATTTTTTATGACTTATTGACTTCTTCACACAAATAAATCACAAAATTTTCTCCATTGTGATGTGTTTGTGAAAATATTGGAAGTGAGTGTGATTTATGGAGGAGTTTTCCACACATGTTGGGAACTACATATTCTCACGGTGGGCATAATTGAAGTAGTAGAGGGAGTAACCAAGATTGGAAACTAGTAGGTGACCTGATCAAAAAACAGTCCAAGAGGCCCTTCAAATATGATTCAAATTATAAACATTTCCTTTTTAAGAACCTGCTCCAACTTTTCTCTAAATCCTTATGCACAATGCAGCAAGATCTAAGCAGAATCGGCTTTGATTTATTTCCACACAGCCAAGAAGACAAACATGAAACTGCATCCAGAGCACACAAAAATTATTTGATTTATTATGAATTTCGTTTTCAAGTTGAAAGTAAAAATCTTGAACTGCATTCGAAGGCATTATGGGACCTATGGATGTAGATATGTATGTACGAATCGATTTCAGATCGACGACAACAATGCGAGCTCATAAATAATAATTTGAGAGAGTGCCGGGCAAAAAGAACGTTGGGAATCTAAAAAGAAGAAGGCCAGACCAGGGCCGGGACAGGGCGAAACTGTAAAAACAGGTAACCTTCGGCACACACACATACACACTCACACTCGAACAAATCGCAGTTCAAGATACAGATACAATGGAAGCAGACAGCGAGACGTGGCTAAAGCCAAAAGTCATGCCTAGTATTCCGACTCCAGCGGCTTAGCGTCTCGAGTTCAAAGCCAGATAATGGACTATGGAGATGCGTTTGCCGAGATATGCGCACCAAATTGCCGCTGCGAAGGACGAATATTAATTTTTATGACCGTACAAAATGACGATTGCATAACTGACTTCGCCAGGTGACTTCGACTTCCTAATGGCCATATGATTTTTCACTCGGAAACCCACACCACACCACACGACGACGACCTTATGACAAGTGACAAAAAGGAAAAGTACCATAAAAATCTATCTGGCGGAACAGCAGGTTTTCACTTTCGTTCTTCTTGTTTTTGTTGCTTTTTCAAGGACACCCTGAGCATTAAAAAAATAGGATGTCTTGGCGAATTTCTTAAAGGTGTTTGCGAGTGTAGGTAGTTTCGCTCCAGGGATTTTTCCTGCTAGATTTGTTTTATTTAGCTTAGCTTTGTGAGTTTTAATTTAGTGTCCTGCCCCGTTTTTTTTTTTGGGAAAGTGTTCTGTGCAGTTTATTTTTTAGTTTTGAGTTTTTTGCGTTCCTTGTCGGGTATCTCTTTGCCATAAATCATTGTCACCCGCTTCGGCGCAATGTCACTGCAAGCGCTTCCCGCTGGGCGCTGGGCGCTGGCCCCCTACTCTGAACTCCTCTGACTCTGACTCCTCTGATTTTTTGACCAAGGCTTCGTTTTCCAGCCACGAATCTACAAAAAAAATACAAAATAAAAACTTCCGAGGACTGACTGTTTTTTGGATAAAAAATTCGGATAAATTTTTTGAAATGGAAACATACAAAAGTAGTGACTTTAATTCTAATAAAAAATTAGAAATCTACGGCACAGTTTTTGCTATTCTTGGAATAATATTCATACAAATTTCAGGAAAATAATCGGTTTAAAAACTAAAATATTATAAGATAAGAGACCCATTCTTGATACTATTTGGGATATCTTTACTTTTTTGCCCAATTTTTAATCCGAAAAGTAAGAGCAATCAAAATACCCAAAGTTACTCATTTCCGCCGGCTTATCAAAAGCCCAGATCCCTAAGGTATTTTGATTTTTGTCCAACTATCCCAAACCGAGACAAACCCATTTTTGACGATCAACAAAACAAAATCATTTCCAAAATTCCGTTTCTGGCCTTTTGTTTTTTGGTAAATTTTAAATGTGTTTTATGTGTGTGAAGTTTGGGTTTTTATTTGAGCGGGTTTTGTTTTATTTAAATTTGTTGTGGCTTGCATATGATTAATTAGCCGTTTCATGTCGCCTTCCATCAATGGGGCTTAAAATATAATTTTCATTTCAAATGCTAACCAAACAAGTTTTCTTTTGTGTTGTTTTGCTGTTTTTTCTGTTGAGGCTTTTTGTTGGATTTGTTTTATTAACAGCAATTTCGTTTACTTTTGTTGCTTAGTTTGGGCTTTCGGCCGAATCTCTAAGGTCGTGATTAATGTTTTTACAAAAGAGTTGTCGCCATTTTTATGCCCACTTATAAATCTTTTTGTGGCTTTGTCATGAGTGTGAACTTGATAAAGAATCCGTTTAAAAGGAAGTCTTTAGTACTGATTTTTAATAAAATAAAAAAGATCTATAAATATTTTCAGAACTTTTCCTGGATTTTTGACCACTGCATGGGCCAGGATTTTATGCCTGACATTGGGCCATAAATCATAAAAGTTTTTGCCCGGCAAACAAAAAGCCGGAGTTTATGATTTTGTCAGCTGTGTAACATTTCCAGCTGATTAAATCGATAAATTATGAGAAAATAATTTCATTTGATGCCAGATATGTATGTATTTGATTGCGAAACAAAAATCGAAACTGGGGAAAGAATGCAAATGGCCATAAACAACATGGCCAGTAAAGGCAAATAAACTTCATAACTGGCTATGGGACTTATTAACAGGAATAGTTATGAGATAAAGTGCAATTTTTAAATGTTTATTAAATTAAATATGAAATCTGACTGCCATCCTGAGCGCAAGTGCAATGAGAGTGGGTGAAATGGCAAAAGGATAAAGAGAAAGAGAGAGGTATGGACTGGCAGACAGAGAGTGCGACAAATATGCAAAGGCCAGACAACTAGGACATCTACAAAAGCAGCAACAACAACAAGGACAATGCGCCGCAACAATGGCCGCATAAATTTTCTATGCGGAGAACCCGAGAGTGTCCTGAGTCTATGTGTGTGTGTGTGCGTTTGCGAGAGAAATGGCTGCCCTTTCCCACCATTCGGATGTGAAACTATGTTGCCCAGGATATGTGCAATAATTCAAAAACGAATTCCAAGTTCAAAGCGCCCATTACTCGTGGCCAGTTCAGTCCGGTTCAGCTTGCAGCTCAGTTTTCAGTTTTCAGCTTTGCAGCTTCAACTCCCAACGAATCCTGCTACCCAAATCCCTAACCTCTTCTGACCTCCTCGTTAGCCCCTTTTTGCAAATTTATGCAAATGGCTAATAAGCCTGTCAACAGTTTGCAGTTTGCAGTACAAATGAGTGATGACCTGGCTCCAGCATCCGAAAAATGCATTTTGAGTTATGAAGTGTTGAATCTCATTGTGGCCAAAAAACTTCTATCTTACTGGGGTGCACTTTGAAAAACAAATCTATATTCTTTATAAATCTTTGAAACTTAAGTTTAAACAATAAACTTTTAAAATTTTACATTTATTTTTAGTTAAAAAGTGAGAAAAAAGCCGTCGGCATTAGTTACTATCGTCAATATAAATTGTATTCATTATTGAGTTCTTAAATGTGTTACGGAATATAAAATTCTTTAGTTTAAAAAGCATATTTGAACAGATAGATAGTTGTATTATATAAAATATTTATTCATACGTTTTTGTATATTTTTTTTTAAAGATTATTTTAATTTTATTATATTTATATCTTTAATATAAAAAGGGCTACATTTGATTTGAATAATGAAAAAATATCCGAATAATATTTGAATAATGACTATATACTATCTATAAACTTCTTTATCTATTAAGATACTAAATACATCTTATGTTATTCTAACATCCTTTGCAATTTTTTCCCCCATTTTTGAAAGTGTATCTTTAAGGAAATTGAAAAGTCAAGCTCTGGCACTTACCTTTTTAATCCAATACGTGTGCTTATCCTTCAATCCTGGAGCTTGGGAAATTTCTCAGTTGAAGTGAAACTTTGAGATAAAACTTTTTCTTTCTTATTTTTATTTTTTTTTTTATTTTTTGGCTGTCTACGATTATTTTCTTTTTTGACTGCAAGAGTTAAAACTTTTGCCTTTGCGTTCCTCGGCTAGTGTGTAGATATATTGCTCGTTTTGCGGGGGACTAGAAAACGTTGTGCGGCAGATTCAAGTTTTCAGGTGCACGTTTTTAAGAATTAGTAGATAAAACACTTAGGTAGTAGGATTTGGCTTGATCAATTGGAACTTTTTAGCACACTTTAGTGATATTGCACAATTAGTAGCGGGATAAATCCAGACACCTGCCAGACACTCTCAAAAAGATAAACGCGCGCGAATTCTTTTTCCTGTTTATCGCCCCCCGGTCTGTGTTTTTGTTTTGATTTGCTTGCTGGTGTTTTTATGGCGATTATTATTATTGTTATTATTTTGGGTTTAATGTCTGCGCCGAGCGAGGGCCACTGTGCGACTGCGGTTCTAATTTTTTACGATTATTGTTATGATTATTTTTACGGCCTGTGCGATCTTTACGGGCTGGGGAAGCGCCAAAAAGCGACCGCGACGGCGGAGAGCGAGCGAAATAGTGTTCAGTACCGTTTTCACCGTTATGTCTCTGGGATCCCCACAAACACAGACAGACACACACACACAGACACTGGCTCGCACACGTGGGCAAAACAGCGTACTCGGCTCGAGTGCTTTGTTCGATGTTGATTTCTTTACGACTCCTATCAAACTAAAACCATAAAGCATTCAATTCCAACCATATACATGTGAAAATCCCAGCGAGAACTCCTTATTAATCCAACGTTGGCGTTGGCGCTGGCGCTGGCGCTGCTCAGCTCTGCCGCTTCTGTTGGCGTTGGCGCTAGCGTTTGCCTTCGCGTGTACGTCAGCGTTGACTGCGACGCCAACAGCGACGCCGCCGCCCATAAAGTATTTGCCAAAAGAACCGTTCTGCTCTCGTGGTCTTTTGAGTGACTGAGCGAGCGAGTGAGTTAGTAGCTGAGCCGCTCTTCTCGGCTCTGCCATGCGAAATTCACGAAGTTCACCCGCCGCCGGCAACATGGCTCTGGACTTCAGTATCCGTACTCAGAAGTCTCCTTACGCGGGAATGTGGGCTACGGTTTTTTTTGTTGCAATTAGGATTATTTTTTGATTTAATGGTACGTTTTGTTTATGATTTTTGTTGAGAATTGTAGTGTAATGTTTTGATTTAACAAAATAGTATATTAACTGCATAGTTCAGATGAATTTTTTGAGTTCCTAAACCTACAAATATTTAGATACTCTGAGTTTTTTTTAAGGATAGGAATTTATAATTGAAATCTTCATTTTTTTTAAAAGACTAGATAATTTAGAATGGTATGTTTAACAAAGAAAATTTTTTTAGATGTAGTAAAGAATGAATCCAACAAATTTATAATAAAAAGGAAGATTTACATATATATTAAAAACTTACTAAAGTTACACTAAAAATTTCAGGGCCTAATGAAATTCAAAAAGTTGATGGTACATTTTTTCTGAACAAAGCAATACACTTAATAGTACAACTTAAACTTAAATTAAAAAAAAAAAATACTTAAATTCATAAAAAAAATATGTATTTATATTTCTTAAAAAATAATATAAATAAAAAAAATTAACTATTAAAAAATAAAAACTATTTCCTCTCACATTATTTCGAACTCTCTAATTTTGAAAATAAAAACCAACATAAAATGGAATGGCAGGGTGAATGAAACGGAATGACAGTGAGAATGAAAGGGAAGATAAAATGGATGATAAATGATAAAACGAGACGAATATACTTCCAGAGCGAGATGGCGAATGTGACGAATGTGGCCATTATTTTGCTTAATGTGTGTCGTGAGCGTGCCGCGCTGCTCTTTTTTCAATTGGGATTTCTCACATAAATTTACGCAGTCGTCGTCGTCGGCAGCGCAGTCAACGCTGCGTGGCTGCTCTGCTGAAGTTGGCAGAGCAGAGCGTACAGTGGCAGAGGCAGAGCTCTGCGCTCCCAGCGAGAGTCACTTGGCTCCTTTGGCACGGGTAGCGACCTAGCGCGCTGAGAATTCCAATTGGAGCAACGTTTGCCAGCGGCAAAATCTTCGAAATAAATATACGACAAAAAAAGTATTCGAATAGATATTGAGATATATTTTTAGGAAAAATAAATGATTAATTTTTCTAATTAGTTAAACATTTTTTTTCGGTTTGTATATTGTTTTTTTTTTAATTGACAATATCCAAATTTATAAATTGAAATCAAAAGTATTGAAAATTGTATGTCTTGGAAATTAATAGATTTTATAAGTAATAAACGCGATTATTGAGAGATGAAATTTTATTGAATGAAACTTTTGTTTGAGAAAGGTTTCTTTTATTTTGATTTAAGTTTTTGGGTGTTGGGAATAAATAAACACAATTTTGATTGTATTCAAGATATTATATATAAGATATATTCAAGATTGAAAGAAAATTATTACCTGTAAAAAAGTATTCATTCACTTACCCTAAAGACACAAAAACTAATGAAAACTTATTAAAAATGTTCAAGCTTTTTAGCTTAAAGTAATACCCATATATGTAATTGTTATTATAGTTGAATTTTAAGATTAAAAAATAAATATGTTTTTGTAGTCATGGAGCTTGTATTTGCAGAAATTTTTAAACTTTTGCCGACCCCCAAACAATTTTACACTCAATTATGTGCCGGCAATAAATATCAAGAAAACGAATGAATCGGTTTTAAAAGCACACTTGGCGCCCCCGCTCCGACACCCCATTTCCCCTTCACCATCCGTCCCTGCCTGCGCCACCCACTCCAATGGGGATGCGTTGCGGCCCCAGTTTTCCTCCATCCCTCTTGGAAAGAAGGGTCCCCTGGATGTTGCCCGTACGCATCGCTGCTCTTTGACAACTGTGCGACTCTAAATCATTCAATTCGGGTCCAGGATCAGGCGCAGACCCAGGCTCAGCTGGAATCGAGTACCCGCCGGTGTCTCCTGGCCCACGGGCGACGGCTCTCGGTTCTTGGTCCTTTTTTGTCCCCGTGTGCTGGTGTCTCGGTGTGGCGTTCACCTTGGAAAATATTTTCACATGCCGTCGCTGCCACAGACAACTCGCCCCAAAAGCCAGCGTTTCCGCTCCAGCAAGCTGCAGCAACAACTAAAAAAACAAGTACTCGTTGTTGGAATACTTTATAGACTAAAATATACCTTGTAAACATTTTTAGATATATTATATTAATTTTTTCATGGCCTTACTATAAATACTTGAAGAAATAATAGCTATTATCCTACCTAAAGGATACATTAAAGATCAAGAAAAATATTCACATATCAGCAAATATTTTCAGATTGTTTTAAAATTAGGTTCTTGTAAAAAAATCATAATTAACTTTATATATTCTCTGATTTTTAATAAAATATTCAAAACTAAATATACCCGTAAAACATAATTTTAATGGGTAACCAGTAAGGCAAGGAAGGGGACATCGCGCGTGCCGTTCAGCTGGATGGGAGACTTCAAAAACCCAGCCCTGTTGCCTGTTCCCGGTTCCCTTTTCCCGGTTTTCTGGTTCCCTACTCCACTCCAAGCAATTCCAGCAAATAAGTCAACCTGTGCAACCTGGGCAACAACAACTATAACAACAACAACAGGGATAGCAATCCCCCCAAAAGTGATCGATGAAGTTGCCCGCCAAATTTACGACGTGAAACTTTGAATTGTTTCGCATGTCGGTTCGATTTTGCCATCTGCCAAAAGGAACTTCCCTAACCCCATGGAGTACCTCTGTCGCAATATACCCGCACAGTTTCCTGTGGCACAGTATAAGGCTTTAGTTTTTTTTTTTTTTACTTTATTTTCAAGTATATTTTTATTCAGCTCATATTCTTGTAGCTTATTTTTGTGTTGCTTGTACTCTAATGTTTTTATGGTATTAATTGCATTATGAATAGTATTACATAATTGATTATTCTTGAACCAAAATTTAGTCAAAAATTGTTAATATCATGTGAAATTGGTAGCCATTATTCTATCATAGCGGCGTTGCTCCTTGGGAGTTAGCTTACAGAATTCTGTTTCAAAAATCTTAAGCTCGTTTCTTGTATGCAAAGGTGGCCAGAGGGTGGTATAAGCCATGGTCCTGCAACATATTATATATTTATTAACAAAAAAAAATTCTAATTATATTGCATTTTTTTTGTATATATTTACCTAACAAATTGCCAGGCACAGTCTGCATTCGGTTGATTATCGATGAGAAGGCGAATTTCCTTTTTTGACTGGTTTCGGTACTCCCCACGGGTACTATGATACATCTCCACACATCGTACCTGTCTGGAAGCAAAACAAAATCAATAAATGGCTATCCGATTATGCAGATTCTTACAATGGAATTTTGTGACGTTTAAAATTGGGCTCAAGGACTGTCTCCTTTTCGTCATCGAACACCTTTTGATATACGGGTACATAGCTTTCAAGACCCAGATCTATATCTTTTTCGTTGTAATCTGGATCGATGTACTTAACATCATCCTTGTGGCGCTGGTACATTCGACTTAACGAGTATCTCGTTTCCGTGGCGCTGTATCTTACAAAGATGGATGCATTAACAGAGCGCATTCCCTTGGACTTTCTAATAAGCTCCATAGTTTTTCTCTTTTCGGCCATTTCGGTCTTGCGATCGACGGACGGCATGGAGGAGCTAGTCCTAGAGAAAGAGACAAACCCACTCATATTGGCAATTTAAGAAATACGCTTCTTGGGAATAATATCCTTATTTTAGTTCGGAGTTTATTTGTGTTTCTGTGTGATGTATAGAACCAATGATACTTTCATTTGGAATTTAATGAACTTTCTAAAAAGGCTATACAGATCGAAATGAAAACATTTGTATGATTTGGATTTTAATATAAAGTGTCTACGACGGATCATATAGATATAATCGGCATACAAATGTCACTGAAATTATTCAACTGTCCTATACGTGTTTCTATTAGAATATCTTACTTTTCTCACTTAAAACGGATTAATATCTGAACTGATCGCTAGAATTAAGCAGAAGCGATAAATCTAAAAGCTGCGAAACTGGTTCTCCATTGCACATTTTCAATGCCATTATTTAAGTTTGTAGAATTAGCATTTTGAGGGCATTTTCCGTTAGTTGGCATGCAAGCGGATAATCAGTCAAGTCGATCAGGTGAGTCAATAAATAATCCACCATTCCCCCCTGACCACTGAGCTCCAATGGTTGCACAGAAGTCGCGGAGTAGACAACCACCAGAATCAGGAGGCAGTGGGACATGTGTACATATGACAGCATTTTAATGGTCGTTTATCATAATTTGTCTCCGGCTCAGGCTAATGCCAACAGAAATTGTTGATAAACACTGGGGGTTCTATGGGTATTCCTGGATCCTTGACACTTGAATGTTAATTGAGGACTCGCGCCCACATGCCACACATCCTTGAGGTTGGCTGATTGATTTCCATGGACGCAGGGGATTATCGATTTAAGCTCCGCCGCTTAATGGCCACTATTTATATTTATTTAGCTAGTTATCAGCAAATAAATCCAGCGACCCCAGCAACTAAACCCATTTCGGAGGCATCTAATGATATGATTATGAAAAATACTAAAGACCCGTAAGCGAAACGGAGAGCGAAAATAAAATACGACTCACAGATACTTGTACGGTGGTGCTGGCTGGCCATGCAGATACGGATACGGATATTTATGTATCTATGGGATCGAAAGCAAATGCGTGTGCGCCATTAAAATGAAAGAAGGCGGAACGCCTACAAAGTTGGGGCCACCGGCGGGGCAGGGCAGGGCTGTGGGCGGTGGGCAGTGGGAGGTGCCCTTGGTTGTGTTGACTGGGTTGGCTGTGTTGGGGGTGGTGAAATACGATGTGGCAACACCCAGCGGCGCCACTAACATTCACGCACACAACCACACCAGGCTCACCCACACTTTCTCCCTTTCCCTTATTATTTTTTGTGTTTCTTTTCCTATTTTTCTGGGACCTCGCACGCACGCACTCGACACATGGCGCTATCGGCGCTTCCGGTGCGTGCGTCTCCCTCGACCCAACCCCCAAAAACACCCACACCCACAGCCCCTCTCGCCTCATCCCCCGGCTCGGGCTCCTTTGAGGCCTGCTTTCTGGCAGGCGTGGTTGGCAAGCCCTAGGCGATTCCAGAAGCTGAAAGCAGCACAAATACAAGGCTGGGACACAGGCTGCCGAGCGGACCAAAATAAGAATCTAAAACGCAATAACTTTGGGGTGAAAATAGCCGAAAATATCGATGGAGGAGGATACATCAGCAAGGATGATATAAACGAAGGTTAGATACCCTTAAAGAATAGTTAACTAATAATATTAAAATTAAGGTGAAGAAAATATATAAGTAGTTGCTGTGGGAATATTATTCCAAAGAACAACTTTTTTATGATTATTTAGAGAGGGGCTTTTAAGAATTAGTGGAGTAAATAATAATTATTTAATGGTATTTATTGTGTAAGAAATATATTAATTATGCTATTCATAGCTTAAAACTCTTAAAGCAACATCTTTATTCTATAAAAAATAAACAAAATGAATATTTTTAAATGAAATGACTGAGTCTTAGGGCCTAAAAAGATTACAAAATATTCAAACTTCAAAAAGCTCTACTAACCCAATTCCTTAACATAATAATTCTTTACAAAGAGTATCAAAAAACTTAAGAAAAGAAAAAGAACCGAAAAAAAATGCTAAGCAAAATAAGCGGCAGAAAAAAATGCCAAAATAGAAATAAATTCCTTTGTGTGCTCTTATCTATATGATTTGTGATTCTGGGTGTCGTCAATTGTTGTTGTTTTTCTTGCAGCCGCAACCACTGACAATGAGTGGGCGAGTGGGTCAGTGGGCGGGGCCGTATTCAACCCCCGAGCATACGACCTAATGGAATTTTTGTATAGCGTGGATGTTGGGACATCCTCGAAGAAGGACTTGTCTCAGCGAGGCCCTTGGAACTCGGGCTAGTATCAAAGATATTTCGCACATAAATTTGAAAGTCAAGACAATCTATCTTGTGCCACCCGCACGTGAAATTCTTTTGTCCCAAGGCGAAGAGCAGCTTTGGAAATAAAACACCGAAAACACACACAAAAAACTGCAAATTTTCCAGGCCGCGTCCAAAGCTTAATGAAATATCTACAAGCCAGAGAATGCCGCAAAATATAAATAATACCTCATAATGTCGTGAAGTATCTGACAAGGAATAGAACTCAAGGAGGAGAGTAAGGTGAGGCAGTGGAGGGCAGTCGTATCCGTATATTATAATAATGCGGATAAAGAGATACAATTTCATTGATATCGCCTAAAAGTCCAATATTCACAGAGATTTATGGCCAACTTGAAGATGATCCCCCTCGGTCACCTACCCCACCTCTCACCTCTGGAGAACCAGACCCGAGACATGGCTTGACTTTTTTTTCGCCTCGTTTGGTCGCTTTTTTGTTGCTGTTGAAAAAAGAGATTCATGTTCATGGCCAAGATACAGCACAAAATTATCAAATACTCGCACACACCGTATGCACATACTTTTATTGTGCCGCGCTGCAGATACGAAGATACAAAGATACTCGGATACTCAGATACACAGATACAAGATACATATGCGAGAACATCTAGAGGAGAACAAACGATTTTTGATAAATGCCCATCATTACACTTTTCATTATGGCGATCCATTTATCACCGCCATTGTGATAAGTTCTAAGACTTGGCTTTTGGTGCCAAACCTTGTTTTCTTTTTGGCCAGAACCATTAACGGTAAATTGTCCAATTAGAAGTGAGATAGATTAAAATTAATGCGAGCATGTGAATTAATAAAATAACAAGAAAAGAGATGAGTTTTTTCAAGGTATTTTGAAGTTGGAAGATAGAATTTAATTAAAAGAACTGGGTCTTAATAGAAAACCTCTAACAAAGGTCTATAAAATAAATATTTTGAGCATTTTTCTTGAACTGAATGTAGAACATTACCGTCTGATTTTCACTTTCATTTTTATTTTTTGATTTATTTAGTTCTTTGATTTGTATTCGGCCATTGTGTTGTGACAGCAGAGCAGCCTTGATGGGGTCAGATGACCGACGACCGACGGCCCTGAAAAGCGAAAGTGAGCGATCCATTATGACCACACCTGAAACAATGGATCGGGGAAACTCAATGCAGAAGGTTGAGCACTGCCCTCGCAGCGTTTCAAATTTCGAGACCAAAAATCATCAGGTGGTGGTGGTGGAAAAGTCAGAGGCTGGCTGGAGGGCTAATTAACCCGAATGCCGACGTGTGCACGTAATAATGCATCAGGCAAAGGCATAAGCAATGCTCTGCAGTTGGCACCAATAAAATGGAATAATTGTTGCAGCGATGCCAGGCGTCCTTGGCAGGGTGTTTTGGCCCCGAATTTAGTGGTGCAAGGTCACGGCGAACGCAAACCGAACGGAGAACGCCGTCCCAGGAATCAAGGTTAATTGTCCATTAAGGCGGGCGGCAGTGGCAGCGTCGTGGAGTGGTGTGGCGCGACATGGAGGAGAAAGTGCAAGTGCAAGTGTCTGGGAAATGCCACCAACGAAATTGCCATTGCAACTTAACCAACTGCACTGGCCCTACGTATCCATGAGTGGGCTTGAGTGTAAGTGTGTGGGTAATTTATGAGGTCAATGCGCTTATTCCGGGGTGCTGACTTTGCGTTTTAGCTTCTAGCATTGCTTGGGAGGACTAAACATCATATTCTTTTCTTTTATTCCTTCTAAATGCAATCAGGATATCCTTCACAGGAACCTTGACTTCATAGTCCATTGTCCAGTAGAAATAAGGAAATCATTTAAAGACTCGCACTTCAAGGGCCGACTACGAATGACCAACCCAAGCTCGAGAACACCCACATAGACACACTATAATGAATTCAAAATCACTTCCGATTTGTCGATTGAATAAAATTACTACAATAAATTGGCACACACAAACAGAGACTCACAGACAGGGCCTGGCCTCGAGTAATCCCCAACGAGCTGGGGGGCAGGACAAGTGAAAAAAGATTGGCACCACTTAAAAGAAATTGCCAATGATAATGATAAAATAAACAACAACAAGCAGCTTAAGCCGGAGACGAGGCCGACGAGGAGGAACAGCTTGGGCAGCCGCCGGAACTTGTATCCTTCTTCCTGCCAGTACCTCCCATCCCATCCACCCACACCCGCTAACAAAAACACACACAAAATAGACAGAAACTCAAATAAACAAAATGCCTACGAAAAGTTTTCTTTTCATTTCCATAAAAAAAAAACAAGGAAAAGCGAGGAAAACAAGTTTTGTGCTGGATTTTTCGGGGGGCCTGGTGGGGCGGACTGGGAACAGAGAAAAACCGTAACCGAAACCGCATTTTCTCCGTTCCAACGATTGTGGGTGGGTCCTCCGGGTCGGTTCCCGTTTTCGGTTGCCTGATTTTGATTCCGGCTACGACTCCGATTCCGAATCCGTATCCGACTCGATGAGTTTTGAGGTAAGATAAGGCCAAACAAACATGGAGTGCTACAGTGTGGAGGGTGTGGTGCTGATGGTTGGTGGTGGCGGAATCCTGAGGGAAATCGGTTTCACTCAATTTCCAACCCACACACGGAAAACATGGAGATAGGAAAACACCCTCGAACAAGTGGCCAAGATATACGAAAAGTTTGTGCCCGTCTTCCCGGGGGATCAACAAAACCTAATCGCTTATGGCATTTGCCTGAAGAGCCAACCGGGAATATGTCAGCTCTCCAAGTGGATTTGCCCTTTCCCGACATTTTTTCTTTATCTTCCTTACCAGATGCAAATCGGCCAGATGTCAAT